CTGATTTACAGCATCCGCAGTTCTTTCGGTTTTTCTATGGGGAGAAAGCTGAGTTAATGTTTTAGACCAAGTGACCCTTCTTCACTAGCTAGAGAAAAGTGGTGCATAAGAGGCTCCTTCAGAACTCATCATCGAGTTCAATAATTTTAAGGCCTGAATGCCCTCTTCTATGTCTTTTCCTTGCCCAACCCCCCCACCCCAGGCTGTCACTTGACATGGGCTGCTTTCAGCACAGCAAACCCGTTTTCACCAACAGTGGTCCCTATTATCAGCTTTTCTTTTTCCCTTGGCTTACCACTATCCATTCCTTTGCCTGCCTAACTGTCATTCTCCCTCCCTCTGTGCTCTGCTCCACCTGTTTCCTAGTCCTGCGCTTCTCTCCACCTTCAGTATATATGCCACCTTTTACCTACCTACCATCAGTTCTGCAGAAATGTCACTGGAATCAAAGCATTAACTCAATTTTCTCCCTACAGATGCTGCTGGACCTGCTGAGTTCCTCCAACAATTTCTAATTTCATTTGATTTCCAGCATCCCCAGTTCTTTTTTTTTAAATACCCTGTACTTTCTCTCATCCTTGGAACTATTCTGGTATTTCTCTTCTCAGTTGTGGTTGAGCAATATTTTTAAAATACTTGTCCTGTTTTCTTCTGTATTTTATCCGTTTGCGATTAAAGCCTTGTTAACTACTTTCTCAATCTGCCCTTCCAGCTTCAATAATGTGTGAATGTTTGCCCTTGGATCTCTGTTCCTCTTGAGAATCTGCAGCCCTCTTTATATTGTGCCTGTTCTACCAATGGTCACACTTCAGTGCATTAATGATCACTTGTTTTCTGATTTCAGATTCGTTTGCCTCCAGAAGTAAATCGTATCTTGTATATAAGAAATTTGCCGTACAAAATAACAGCAGAAGAAATGTACGATATATTTGGGAAATATGGACCAATCCGACAAATCAGAGTGTAAGTACCGTACTGTAGTGTTTCAGGTTAGTTTTACTCTAGGCTGAGACCGATTTTTAATCAGCAAGCATTTGAGGAAAGGGCAGGAAAATGCTGAGGATTATAGATCAACCACAATCTCAGATTGATAGAGTGGGCTCGATGGGCCAAATGGTCTACTTTTGCTCATGTCTTACAATGTTATACCTCCTAATGATCTGTATAATGAGTGGCAAATATGTGATTAGGTGAGCGAGGGATGACAGAAGTGGACGTAACCATTCAGTGTCCTGAATTGCATACTCTGTTTGCCCTGGAGATTCTTCAGCATGGTGATGTTTACGAGTCATAGGTTTGGCTACTGAGCAGCAGAGAAAATGGTCCCAAACTGAGGTTCAGTTAAACAAATCTTTAAGTGCCTTTATACCGAAAGATGGATTTAAAGCTGGCAATGCCAGGTGTGGCTCAGTTAATAGCACCTTTTGTTTCTGAGTTAGAAGTACGTGGGTTAAAGTATCAGTCCAGACTTGCACATAAAATTTAGACTAAGACTTCAGTGCCACCAAGGAAGAAAAGCATTGTTGGAGGTAAAGCCTTTCTAATCGCTTGATACGTTAAGCAGAAACTGGGAAGCTCCCTTGAGAGATAGCAAAAGATCTCGGAGGATGTCAAAGGAGTGTGCAGGAATTTTCCTGGTGACCTGGCCAGTATCGTCTATCAATGCTACTAAATTATTTGACCACCATCGCTGTTTGTACAGTTTTAATGTGCACAAATTAAATGTTGCTTTTCCTACATTGTACAGTCAGTACACTTTAAAGGTGCACCATTAGCTGTGAAATGCTCTGTAATATCCTGAACTCGTGAAAGCTATATAAATGCGGAGCTTTGTTTTCAAAGTTAATATTACAGGTCTTGCTGTACAAATGTGGGGTGTGGATTTAAGGTGAACAGTCCTCTCCCAAAGTGTTAGAATATTTGTGTATCAGCTTACATCTTCTGTACGGTGTTTTCCTGGCAAGGTCTGCATTTGCTGCTTATCTGTAATGTCCCTTGAGAAAGAAGTCATAAGCTGCCCTCTTGAATAACTGCAGTTCCACCTGGTGTAGGTGGAACTACAGTTTCATTAGGAAGAGATTTCTAGGAGGTTGACATTGCAAGGATGGTAACATAGTTCCAAGTCAGGGTGGTGTGGTCTTGTGCTGTGCAGTTAAGTGTTCCCTTGAATCTGTCCTTGCCCTTTCGGGTTGTAGAGGTTGAGATGTCATGCATCTGATTTTTATATTAACATTTTAAAGGCTGAATAATCTTGCTGTTTTCAGGTTAATTGGATGTTTATTTGTCCCGTTTTTGCCATACAATATTTTCTGTGACACTCCTGGAATAAGTACAATTGGTAACTGTGCTTGAACAGCAAATTGACTGTTATATTTGAGGTCTGAAAAGATATATTGTGAATATTTGAATGCATTTGAAAACAAGAAAAACGGTAAACTAGGGTAACTTGTATTTATGAGATAGTAGGAACTGCCGATGCTGGAGAATCAGAGATAACAAAGTGTAGAGCTGGATGAAGACAGCAGGTCAAGCAGCATCAGAGAAGCAGAAGGGTTTCTGAAGAAGGGTTTCGACGGAAACGTCAGCTTTCCTACTCCTCTGATGCTGCTTGGCCTGCTGTGTTCATCCAGCTCTACACCTTGTTAACTTGTGTTTATGTCCTCTTCATGTTGAAGTATGTTTTAAAGGCAGAAGTGCATACGAAACTGAAATTGGAAAAGGGATGAATCGGACATCATTGAAGAGATTTTGAGAACAGGGAGTTTGAGGTAGTAAAACAGAATAATTTTGGGGAAGAATTCATGGGGCTTAAACTTAATTATTGAAGGTGGTAACGTGGAGGGAATAGAAAGCGGTTACGAATCCAGAAATGGAATCAGTTGGCAAGAAGGCCATAGAATATGACTTGGATAAGTTGACGGCAATAATCAAAGGATTTGAAGGCCTGTCGTTTGACAGCCAGTTGAGGTTGGCAAGGATTAATATGGTTCCACTGAAGTAGAGATATTGGTTGAAACATAACTTGCAAATTGTTTTCTTATTTCTTACTAGAGTTAAGGGCCTTTTTTTAACCAGTAAGGGTATCAAGAGTTATGGGGAAAAGGCAGGAAAATTGAGTTGAGGATTATCAGGTCTGCCATGATCTCACTAAATGGTAAAGTAGAAGTGACAGGCTGAATGGCTGACTTCAACTCCTGTGTTTTTATGTTTCTGAAGTCCTTGTTAGTTTGGTCCTGGATGTGCAGCTATTTTAAAGCCAAACAACCTTCGTAAAATTTAATTGTACAGGAGATGCGCTGTTGCTAAAGCTCAATAATGATAAAAGCTGCTAAAGATGAAAACCAAATTTATTCTTTAAAACCAAAGTTTTATGTGAATGAAGACACTAAGCTGCTCATTGTGAAGCAAAACTGTCATTTAATTTACGAAATGAAAGCTTTTGAGAAGTTTCAAAGAGCTTTACAGTCAATTTGTACTGTTGAAGCACAGTTACAATAATAATGTAAGACATGATAGCCAATTTGCACACAGCCATGTTCAACAAATGTGGTGCCTAATCTGTTTGTCATGTTTCTTCAGGGGTAAATATTGGCCAGAAAGCAGAGAGGGGCTCTCTGCTACTACTAACAATAGTGGAACTTTGCCTGTAATTGAATAGGGCAGAAATATTCTTTATTCTGCTGGTTAGTGCCAGCTTTAACATGATTAAGTCATGAAGAAATACAGCTTTGTTAAGGATGAGATATGGATTGCCTCATTAATTGAATAATAGAATGCATTTCTCAAACCATCTTCAGAATTTATTGAAGTCTGTTAATGTGAGCCAAGTACAGTCAAATTTTTAATTTGTGCTGAGCTGAGACTCATGGTTCATAGTGCCTTTTTGATGGGTTAAGTATCTAGTTGCCCTAGATTGACCAGAGCTGTTTTAAATCAGATCAATCATTTGACATTTGTCTTGGACCTGGGGTGCCTGAGAATAAGTTTAGTTATTTATATTCCATTTTAGGCTTGAATCACCATGTAATTAGAAATTAAAGGCATTGTGAGTTGAAATTTTAAAATTTTGGATTTAATCTTAAATTTTTAAAGGCAACATGATTTTTTTAAAAGACTTGGAAGTTTCTGAAATGGATACTTGTGGTTTTTGTGAGATTTCAATCCTTTTAGTATGATGTGTTCATAATTCATCTCTGGCAAGCTGAACTTGGCCTTGTTGCTTAGGCTGGAATACTGTTCTGCATAGATGAGTGCTGGCCATTTGCCCTGCCTTGTTGCTAGATTAAAACAGATTCCATTGCTTCCATCTTATCCTCATTGCGCTGACCATCGTTTTATTCAAACAGTTCTACAATATTTTATTAAATACAGTACATTCTTTTTGTTAATGTGTAACACCTCTGTCAAATGTTTACTTATCATATTAGCACTGATTTTCCCACCCAGGAGGAAGTCTTTAATTATTTATCCTGCCAAATTTCTTCAATGTTAAACACCTGTACTAATGCTTTCGGTGTCCCAGCTCCAGTAGAAACATCCACTCTCTTTCACAGCTTCTTGTCTCCGGTGTCATGCTGACAAATCTCCACACTGCTTTGTTGTGTTCGTTCTTTCTTTATTGAGACTTGCAAAATTGCATGCAATTTTTGGCTAAGCCATTGCTTTACACCAGAATGGTTATTTGTGATTTTTGTGCAAGGGAAGTCAAAAATGAGATTTGTCAGATTTAACCTTTTCCTCCCAGTTTGGGAATGGAATGGTTTTTGCTTCCCCGCCCCTGCTACCGATGCATGGGTTTATATCAACCAAGTACTGAACACCACATCTAAATGCAAACTAAAGTTGCCTGTACCATAAACCAACTTCTGAAGAATGTCCTTTTCTTGACCAGGACAAAAATATCTTCACGGTAAAACTAAGTGGAGTGGACATATCAGTATATTTCTACTGGGAACTGGCTTAACAATTCTGAAGTTCATTTCAGCCAGGATTCTGATGTCTGATAAATAAGGCTACATTCCATTCATAGAATCCCTACAGTGTGAAAGCAGGCCATTGGCCCATGTCCGCACTGACCGTCCAAAGAGCATCCCAACCTAACTCCCTCCCCTACCCTATCCCCATAACCCTGCATTTTCTGTGACTAATCCACCTAACCTACACATCCGTTGACACTCTGGGCAATTTAGCATTGCCAGTCCACCTAAGTTGCACATCTTTGGACTGTTCCTTATTCTGTACCATCAACACTATATTGCCCCACTGCACATCCCTGGACAGTGGGAGGAAACCAGAGCACCCAGAAGAAATCCATGCAGGCACAGGGAGAATGTGCACATAGACAGTCACCCAAAGGTGCAGACAAGCCCAGGTGGCTGGTGCTGGGAGGCAGCAGTGCTAACCACTGAGCCACCATGCCACCCATTAATCTGGTTCACATTACAAACTAGCATTGAGAAGTTGACTGTGTTGCTGACACATTGCTTGCTCATAAGCTTGTTCACTAAATGGTAGATTTTTCCTTTTACATTTGAAAAATAAGTACTTGAGAGAAATTTACAAACAATGTTGCACATTGTTTAATTGCTCCAAATGTGGAATGAAAATGTTGTATATAGAGATATAAGAATTAGAGTAGCTAATGACCTTTTTAATACATTCTACTATCTGACTAATGTGTATCTTAATGCGATCTACCTGCCCTGGTTCACTAACCATGAAAACTCTTGCCTAACAAACATCTCTAACATCAAATTTTCAATTTCATGCAGTCACAATGCTTTTCTGGGGGAGAATGTTCCAGATTGTACTCCTTTGTGGGGAAAAAAATGTCAGATTTTGCAAATTACTGGAATAAGTGAAACTTATAAAAATCTGTAGTGTTAACCACCACAAATTTGCAGAACCTTAATTCTGTAAACTTTGTATTACAGAGGAAATACACCTGAGACGAGAGGAACTGCATATGTAGTGTATGAAGATATTTTTGATGCCAAGAATGCTTGTGACCACTTATCTGGGTTCAATGTGTGCAATAGATACCTTGTAGTTTTGTACTACAATGCAAACAGGGTAAGCTTTGTTACTTTCCTCTTCATTATTGAAGTTTTACGATGAATCTTGATTTATATAAGTAATGCTGGAAATGTACATTGAAAAAATATACATGTCTTTTGATGCTTAAAAATCCAAGGCTCTTCACAAAACAGTGAAAAATAAGCACACCAAATCAGAATAGGTATGGGTTATAAGCTGTTATAAGCTGGTGAGACAGGTTTTGACAATGTTCCAAAGAGTCTGATATGGCATAGTGCTCTGCAGTGGATGATAAAAGTGGGTAGGGGGAAGGAGGCATAGAGATTGCTGGAATTCAAAATAAACTGCATGCATGGGAATATACAAAGTTAGAGAAATGTAGAGCTGCTCTGGAGCAAAGATTTTAGGGCTTTAACCTTTTAATTCTTGGGAGAAATCTTACTGGCATTTGTTGTCCATCTCTAACTGCCCTGAAACTGGTTTACTTGACTATTTAAGAGGGCAATTAAGAGTCAACAACATTGCTGTGTACATGTAGGTGAGGAACACAGCTTTCTGACTTCAAAGGTTTTTATAATGGAGTTTCAAGATCATATTACTAAGACTAACCAAATTTTTGATTGGAATTTGATTTCCATCAGCTGCCATGATAGGATATGAACATGTCCCCTGTGCATTAGCCTGGGTTTCTTGATTACTAGTCCAGTGACATTGACACTATACCACGTCTGCCCTGAATATTTAGAATGGAAGACAGGAAACATGTTCAGAACTTGGGAGAGATTGGATATGTTTTGCTGAACTTTGGACAATTTGGAATTTCTAAGAATGAAATGAGAAGCACATCAGCGTTGTTGTGTCTGGAAGTGATTGTACTTTGTATAAGAGATTCAGAGAGAGGAATTGAGATAGGTGCCATAGTTTGTTGTCAATCCACTTGAGTTTTGGGCTACACCTCCAGACCACAATCAATGCATACTCTGAGGAAGTGTAATGTCACTGCCAGCAACTTCTGGATTTCTGTGTTATTCTGCACATGTGCAGACACTTGCTGGATGTTTCAATGGAATAATGATGGTGAATGCTGATGGTTTTGTAGTCTTAACTGCTGTAAAACTCATGACACCATTGTTGGGAGCAGTTCTAAGTATTCGGTTTAATTGATTCTTGGATCAACAGTTGATCATTAGAGTTTGCTACAATGGCCGATCTGTCTAAATGAAACATCTTAAGTTTGTTACACTTGGGAAACCTTGGTCCTTTAAATTCTTTGTGGTATTCCTTTGTGGTTAATGATCTGTGAATCCTTAACACGAATGGAACTTCATTTTCCATTGATATAGTTGCGTATTTGTAAATCATTATCTTAATTTGGCTATTTTTGTGACTCCCATTGCTAAAAAACTATTTGCCTCTTTATACAGGCTTTCCAAAAAATGGATACAAAGAAAAAGGAAGAGCAACTTAAAATTCTGAAGGAAAAATATGGAATCAACACTGAAACAAAATGAACCATTGGGTTTTTGTTTTTTTAAAACTTTTGCATTGTAAATACTATTGAAAGGACTTTTGAAGATTTCATATAATTTAGCAATTTGGATAAATCTCACCAGATTATTTTGTAGTTTTAAGAAAACCATTTACTTCGAATAATAGTCAGTCGTTGTTTGAAACAGTACTTCCATTTATTTTGACTTTATGTAACTTGTTTGCCTGATTTAAAGCATAGCATAATTAAGCTTGCATACAAATGGTGTTTATATTCGCAAATATTTTTAATGGGACTGCACACTAGTTACCATGGTGATTCAAGTATTATTTCTGTCAAATGTACACTCTTGTATTCCTAACAATTATTTGTGTACATTAAACTGTAAAATGCTTTTACATTAGTCATTATTGATATGCTTTCTGTTGGTAAGTGTGAAGTTATTGTTCTAGTGTAAGCCTGTTGACACCAGTGAATTAGGTACCTAGAGCATTGGGTGATGGCCTGTTTTGGGTTGTTCGATGAAAAATTGCCACCTAATGTTCTTTATCCTGACCTTCCCTGCTTTGTTATACTCCCGCAAACTCGCACCTCCAAACATTAAATTTAAAGGTTCTCGTAATTAAGTGGTAGCCATTAATAAAGTTTTTAAATGTTGCAGTCTTTATACAGGTTAAATGTTTCATCAAATTACATTATTTAGAAGAATAAAAAAGACATATTTTCCAGTTCAATCGGGCAGTTGGAGATTTTGATAAAGTAAGCTTTGAATTTTGCGAGTGCTGCTGCTTTAGAAACAAATAATTCAGTGAACATGCATAATTTCTATTAATATGCTTCATTTAGCTGGTTTTTTGTTATTCCAAAACACACTGTATGCGAGAAGAAACATGAAATAAATCACACCCAGTCAAGGTTTTAACCTTTTAAATGCTTCCTTCCAAACTTTAATTTTTAATTGGTAAGATGGATCATTTCTGTGGACATGATAAATAGTATTCACAATACAGGGGAGTTAAAGATAAATGCATTGCAAGATACATTTCAAAGCACCTAGCATATTGCAAGAACACTGGGATTTACGTGTCTGATGCTCTGGAAGAATTTATAAGCTGATTCCCAGCATCACAATTCTTTTCCAAAAATAATGTTGTAGTATGCTTAGAAATATTTGGAATAGGCAGTCCAATCCATCCCTGAAGATGCTATTTAATGATTAACATGAACGGTGACTAGCAATGGATAACCTTGGTTCAATCCTTTTATTTTTGATAGATCTAAGTGTGATGTAATTTCTGCTTTGAAACCGCTTGCAGCAAGAAAATTGCAAAGCTTCCAGTTTCAAGAGGCTGAATTAAAATGTCAAGTTTTATAAGCCTACTCTGACTCCACCAAACTGTTCAAAATGTAATTTCTCAGGTGATGTCTGTGATGAAGAATTGGAAAACTCATGAAAATTGATGAAAGCAGTGCGAATGGAGTTTCTCCTATTCTTAATGTTCTGCAGTCTCCTATAAAGCCAAAAGTGTCCCATGCATTCCCTGAGAATGGCTGGTTATTCAATAGGCCACTAAATGAAATGCTTCCAGTAAAACCTGAATCGTAGGTATCTTTGATAGTAGGAACTGCAGATGCTGGAGAATCCGAGACAACAAGGTGCAGGCTGGATGAACACAGCAGGCCAAGCAGCATCATAGGAGCAGAGAGGCTGACGTTTCGGGCCTAGACCCTTCTTCAGAAAAGGGATTGGAGCGGAGGGCTACACGTTCTGCGGGGGAGAGGTTGGAGTGGGTGAGAGGGGTGGAGAGGTTGAGGCGATTGATGTCTCGACGGCAGTTGGAGATGAAGAGGTCAAGGGAGGGTAGGAGGCCTTGGGGTGGTGTCCAGGAGGAGGGGGTGTGTTGGAAGCGGGAGAAGGGATCAGTAGAGGGAGGGTTAGGTTCACGGTTAAAGAAGTAAGCGTGGAGGCGGAGGCGGCGGAAAAACTGCTCTATGTCCAAGCGTGAGTGGTATTCATTGATCTGTGGGTGGAGGGGGATAAAGGTGAGCCCTTTACTGAGGACTGACCGTTCGTCCTCAGTAAGGGGTAGGTCTGGGGGGATGGTGAAGACTCGGCAGGGCTGGGTGCTGCTGTCTCCTCTGGAGCTGCTGGCTGTGGAGGCTGTGGGCGGAGTTGCGTCCGCGTTGGTGATGGGCGGACCGGCGTCGGAGGTAGGAGGAGCGGGGTAGGCGGCGGCAGTAGCGGTGAGGGTGGTCGCGACTTCAGTGTCGGTGGCAACGGCAGCGATGGTGTTTGCTGTCCCGGAAGTGGGGAACCTGGCAGTGGCGGATGTGACGTCATCTGTGGGTTCTCCGATAGTGGCCTCATGGCCAATGGCGGCGGACCCATTGTGGGGAAGGTCCTGGGTACGGCTGGGGATTTGGGGGGTGGAGGAAGCCCGTTTTGGGTGGTAGGCACCAGTAAGTTTACTGTACTTACGGTTTTTAGTGTCCAATAAAGCTGAGTAGAATTGGGAGTTCAGGTTGTGGATCCTACGTAGAATAAAAAACAGGAGAGGTCCTTTGCAGGTCTGGGAGAGGGAGGCTCTGAGCTGGGGTAGGCTTGATTGTAGTGCCTGGAGATGCCGGCGCATTGCTGCAAGTGTGTGTTTCAGGAGTCGCAGGGAGAAACGCTTCTGAAGGATCTCAACACCATGAGTGTAGATATTATCACGGTTGGGGCCAAATTGGGAAGGCTTGAATGTGGATTGTAGTCCATTGGGGATGATCTGGTTCCCGTAGGCAGGTGCTAAGGAAGGTGATGTGGCTGTAGTACCTGGTTTGCTTCAGGACGTGGTCGAGCAGTTTCAGGGCCGAAGAGATTACGAGAGAGTTGCAGTGGGAGAGAGATCCCTTGAGGTTTGTCCGGAGGGAGGAGGGTAACTTCTTCAGGTTAGGCATCCTTAGAAGAGGCTTTGCAGTGGGGTTAAAATTGAATCAGAGATAGT